CACACACACACACACACACACACAAACCCTCCCACCCACACTGCAGGTTATCCCACAAAAAGTGTCATATACGACACCCAAGCAAAAACTAATACAAACATACATTTTATCGCTTTTACGCATTTTGATTTTACCATCTTGATGATTTTTTCATTAATTCCAAGACGATCCACCAGCTGCATATTTCAATGGGCTTCACAGAGGTTCTCACTTTCTTTCTCAGCCAAGGACCCCCTGCAAAACAGAAGATATTCCAGGGACCCCTCATGTACGATTTGTCCCTCAGAGTAATTTGACTTTTTTACACTACTACTTCGTTACGTGACAGATATTTGTTATCAAGCCAACACAGAATCATATCATGATCTTTTTAACTGATGAATCTGGAAACATTTCCCCCCCTGGCAGCATGCCACGGCCCCTGGAGGTCCACTGACCCCAGTTTAAAAGCCACAACTTTAGAATATAGCCTAATGAGATGATGTCAACAAAGCATAAGATCAGCATACAGTTTATAGATTACAATAACAACGTGCAAATCATTGCACCGCGCAGCATTAAAGCGGAGACAACCGTGCGCAATGACGCGTTTCCCCCCGGCACGGTTGGCACTCAACCTGCTATTAATGCCTGTGGAGACGGTCACAGGAGACAGACAGTATTATCGTTTGTTTTATCTTCAGCGTTTAGCGCAGCCACGGGGTAAATGGGTCCCCTTGTCTCCGACCCAGCGAGGGTGTTTATAGTTTTAAAGACTATTTGTGCGCGTCGCCAGCTGATGAATGGCCGTAAAATCTTCCCCGGGCGCGCTGAGAGTCAAACACCAGCCCGACTCTCGCTGTAATAATTGGCGAAATAAAGTAAACGCACAGGGAGAGAAACACAAGACATGGGGGGATGTTTTCATCATGATTCATTCCCACTGGCCATGCGAAGTTTGACTGTAATGTTTAGGTGGACTGGGGAGAAAAGTAATTCCAAATTCAAACCATTACCTCATAAATTATCCACCAAATTAAATCCATCTCCACCTCCACCGGATAGTTAACAGCTCTGTCAACTGTAAATTGGACATGACACGTCTGGCATGTGTTTCATATCCTTAATGCTGGGTCCTGCAGCGGCAGCCCGCGCTCCCCTTTGACCTGTCTTTCTGCAGCACATCTCCAACTCAGATAAAGCTCCAGATAAGGCTGCTTAAAAACTTCCGCTGCACGAACGTGTGGGTATTTTGAGGGTTGCGTGTCGGAGTGAGGAGCCCCTCATTGTGCGTGTGTGCGCGTGAGTGTTCACGCGCGTGTGTGGAGTTAGAGAGGGAGACCAACATTGAATTTTTGTGTCTAGTCTAAACTCCAGCTGGACGCCGCATTAAACTGCTGTTCTTCTGTGTCTCTGCCCCGGAGGCCTTCAGGAGATTTACATCCATTACCTGTTTGATAATCAGACCGATTGCGACTTTACAGGCTCATAAGATATAATCGGATAATCCTGTTAAGAATGACACAGCAAACGTTTTACACTTTCTCCACAGGTTAGACCCACTCGTCCTACCTCAATGTAGCTGTGGATCAATCTCCAGATCAACAGCTCTTTGAAACTATATCACAATTCCAGCATTCAAAACTTTGCATTTGCAAAAGTTCAGTAAAACTAATGTTTAAGGTTGGTAAAAGTTTTAACCGAATTACTCCATATAATACTATATATATATATATATATATATATATATATGTATATATAATCTAACTCTAAATTGGAGAATAACTTCAACTTGCACATAAATATTTGTAATTGATGTAAAATCCAATGTACACATACCTTATTTATATATACATGCATACATCTGAAAATTAAATACTCTGCAGACAACATAATTAACAGAAACTCAATTTAAAAATGTATTGTTTTTATTATTCATTTGACAAATTAATATAGAGAAGCGGTGACATGCTGTGTTTGGACATGCATAGATTCTGGCTGCCATCATCGATGAGTTTTGGGGGTGGTGGGGGTTTTAAAGGGAAGAGTAAATAATCTAGATGGGACAAAATGCGACTGTTTCTTTACCATCCAAGGTTAATCTAGAAAGTAACAAAATACAGCGCAGACTAGTGGACAAAACATTTAGCCTATTTTATTTTATTCTGAAATATGCATAATATTTGCAGACATTGACTTTTTTTTTTTTTTTGGTTTTAAAGAAAATATTAGAAGAACCTAAAAAGAAGAAATCTAATCCAACAATAGTAACACTGACACAAATCATACAGAACTAGAAACACACAGGACAACTCAGCCATTCAAAAAGTCAGTCAGCCTCACAAAAACAGTATTTAGTGTAACACTGTGGACCAATACACTTCTTCAGACCAAAAGTTTTCTATGCCTCATACAGTCCAGATAAGAGCTATGGTGAACTACTGCATTCACACAAAAGAAAATATCCCATAATAGTTCAACTTTAAAACAAATTAATAAAATGTAAAATATTGTCTGATTATTTTTAAAGTTTGGATCCTGTATTTATATGAAGAATTTGGTGAAAACCCAACGTTAGTCTTATCAAAGTATTTTATAATTAACTTGAAAGTAAGACATTTTTAACTAAATAAAACAAAGCTGTTTGCTACTTTGAATAAACTCTATCTGAAGTTCAGTTATTTCCTCTTATTAACCTATACCACCCACGTGGTCCCATTAAAACAGCAGACATATGCACAGCTCTCGTGTGGCCCAGCAGACCTGTAGCCTGATACAGTGGAAATTCATTTCACCACCTGTTTTTCCACCTTTCTTGTCAAGAGTTTGTTATGTGTTTTATTTCTCACTGGACTTTCTTGTCCCTCACATGTATCAGTTAATGGGCGACAGTCAAATTTGCTCCTGGTCCAAGGTCAGGTCTTGGCAACTGCTCTGTCACACCGTGTCTCCATCTCTGGATGTTTGATATAATATTAGTAACCGGACTGTGATTGATGTGGTTCACTGACTGATGAGTTAAATCCCCTCTCCCCCATTCACCCTCTCTACCACTCCCCTTTGAGTTACACCACCACCATGTGGCTGCAGCAGGAACGCACCCCAACTTCAGCTTTGTCCTTTAACTTTCTCGATTACAATATTTTTATCTTGAAAATGATAATGGTGGAGGTTCTGTTGATGCAGAGATCATTCACTGGTCAGCACTCATGTCAGTGATTGCATGACATGACTGCAGCCACAAGCATCCGCTGAACCGGAGTCAGTTTCAGTCCAACTTGGAAACATGAATATGGCAGCGATGTCGAGTGCCATCTGTCCGTGCATCATTCATCTTGTCTGAGATGGAGGGACTGCCCTCCCCTTCCTCCCTCCTGCCTCTCACAGCCCTCACACACACTCCCCAGGTCATGTTCATAGGCTTGGCAAGGCTTCACATAATCCTGCACTGAGTTCAAGGTGATGCTAGGATCCCTTGGGGACATAAGAGGATGGATCCTACTATGCTCCCATGATTTAGTTTTGTCTACGGCCCACTGCAGCTGATGTATGAGCTCAGAGCTAGGATACTGCTGTATTGTGGCTCATAAGCTGATGAATGGATTTGAAGAGACAGGTTGTGCTATGTTGACATATGCAGACTGGATGTGCAACAAAAAACAGATTCCAAATGTCGAAATCCATATTTTTAAATTGAAGCAGCAGAAATCCATGGGTTAAGGTCCAAAAACTCTGGATTCTGCAGTTCCCATAATGCAACTCAGCAGCATCTTTTTATTAGACTTCATCCATCTGTAAAGTGCTTCATCATTCAAACATCCCTTTACACACCCTGTTTGTAAGAAATGCTGCATTAGGGATCCACAGCCGGACTATGAACCACTCCAGAAAGCAATATGCTACTTCTGTTGATTACTAAATCCAACACAGAGAGACTATAGGCTTCATTTCTCAGGCGATCTAGATGGAGAACTCTGTCCATTTGTTAAGGACGGTTTAAGCCCTCATGGAGTCTGTTTCTGACAATTTGGTCAGAAACATGCATGCCAGTAGTCTGCTGGAGGTCATTTTGCAGGACTCTGGCAGTGCTCCACATGTTTTTTCTTGCACAAAGGAGCAGATACCGGTCCTGCTGCTGGGTTGATGCCCTTCTACGGCCCTGGCCAGCTCTCCTTGTGTAACGGCTGGTCTCCTGGTATCTCCTCCATGCTCTTAAGATGTTCTAGCGAACAAACGTATATGGATG